TCCCATTGAGCTCCCCTCTCTCCACCCTGTCCCCATTATCCCCACCCCATCATTACATCTCATGCCAAGAGAGCATAACTCTCTTCCTGATACTCCTGTCGAAAGCCCAGTTTTAATATCCAAGATTAGAATTCTACCAGCAAAGTGGCCCCACCCAGTAGCCCCTGATTTGGTCCCTGCTTCCCTGCTCTTAGGCAACTGAAGTGTCTCTCTACTGACCTTCACTCAGGCTCTGGGACAATGTGAAGCCCAAGGTAAAACCCACAACATGCAGATCCTATCTACTTGCTTACATTACAAACAGAGAGCACAGTGTTCTATGAGCTTCAGAAAATAAGAATGTCCTGGGACTCAGCCAGCCTCACCATTCTGTGTCTGACAGATTCCAAAGGACATTTGGGAAAGGGGTGTCCCTGATTGATCGTCTCCTCTGGACCATCATGCTGCCAGGATTCCTGAGTTTTCCAGTGTCTTCTCCAGAATCCCCACATGTCCAACATCAGTTATCTCACCCCTGGCTCTCAGAGGCTCTCCCTGATATCCATGTGACTTCTCAAATTCCTGGCTTTACTATCTCTCCTTTCATTTTCAACACATGGGTTTGCCTCTCATTTCCTGAGGGTCAAGACTACATGGATGAACTTCCTCTGACTGACATCTTATAGGTCTGTCTAAATTATACCCTCCTGTTCTTTTCCTTTCTGTCTCAGTCGGGTTGGGCTGCCATAACAAAACACCACAGACTGGGGGGCTGAAATAGCAGACATTTATTTTCTCGCAGTTCTGGAGATTGGAAGCCCAGATTAAGGACCATCGGGGTTGGATTCGGGTGGAGTCCTCTTTCTGGCTTGCAGATGGCTGCCTTTCCTCTGAGCAGGTGCCGAGAGTGAGCTCTCTAATGTCTCTTCTTATAAGGACACTAATCTTATCCAATCAGGGCCCCACCCTTATGACCCCATTTAACCTTAACCCATTTCCCATTTGCCCTGAGAATACTTGCCAGTGGCTGTAGTGTATACCCCAATATAACTTGTGGATTACAGTCCTAACCTTACCCCCAAAGTTTGCCACAAAATATCTCGCTTTTATTATTATTTTCACATTGTT